TCTATGCACGAACAGCTTGTAACACTCCAAAGAGAAAGGAAAACTTGAAATTGCATCATATAACCCCTTTAATAGTCAATAGTTACATAATACTGCTTCAATTGAATCTTTTTTAACAAATGTTGAAAATTTGAATCAAGACCACTTGAAAAAATTGGGAGGTCACTGTTGCGCTCTATGTTACCTACAACTGAGGAGGTCTATAAAACCTGAAGCCAGAAAGCTAATGGCAGTCGCTCAGCTGCCAAATGACCCCCGGAAGTAGAATATATGACCTTCCCTCAAACAAGTACCAGGCCTTATAAAGGTCAGAGGTTATTCTGACTGTTTGGCATGCATTAGTGAAATGAGTCACTGGGGTCCCTAACTGATTTATTCCAGTGATTTATGGCACAGCACTGATAATTCACTTACCAAATGAGAATTATGCTCTATTAAACTGCCACTGACCTTCACACCGTCAGAAATCTCACACCCACTCTATTGCACTGCAGGATCGCTGGGCTGGAGGAAATTCTGTTGAAGAGCTGTGAAATGTTTAATTTAAGCTCTGAGAAAATACAGGTTTTATTATTTAAGAATATGTCTATAGGAACCATCTTAACAGCTTTTTCATTAGCTGTACTTTATGGGAAACTGTTGGCAGCACGGCTGGACTAGATCTGGCTGAAACATTTAGTCAGCAGTTTGAATAGGTTGTAGAGAGTCAAGGTTTATTGTCTGCACTGCAAGAGACGCAAAGACCACTTCAATGTTTCCCAGTTCCTGTTAGATCTGGAGCTGTGGCATAATGTTGTTTACACACAGTTAGTGACTGGATTTACTTTTGGATATTACACATCAAATCGCCACACAGCTACAATCTCAAGGGCTCTGTTCCAAAACATTGTGAGAAGCTGCTGCTTACATAGTCATTCTAACTGAAAGGCAACCTGATAATGGACCTTTTGAAATAAATAAATATATGAACAAATACATATAAAGATTTTCAAAAACTGGGTACAATGAGGTGACATTATTCTACTCACCCCTTTAACCACTGAACATTAAAAGGAAACTTAAAAGTGTGTTTTTCAAATATTTCAAAGTGATTTCTGTCCTTCTGACAGATAACAAATATTGTATTTACCTGCTTTAGAAACATTCGAGTAAACATTGCTAATAGGGATTAGATATGAAAAGGGGAGACAATTACATTTTAAAGCATCTGTGTGAAAACAAACAAGAGATTCTTAGTGCATTTCAGTGAATTATTCACAGGACATATTGTAAATTAAATCAGGAGAGCAGACCTCAGTATATGTTGTCTTTTTTCACATTGTTACATTGGAATACAAAGGAAAAAGTATGTAAGGAGGAAAAGAATGCAGCTCTGAAAAGAGCTCTTGCCACAAATATTCTTGTTATACCATGTCACATTACAATACCAAGTGTGTTCTCCTGATTTTTGAAAATAAAACATGACAGCTCATTCAGTCATACTGATAGATAATGATTATTTGTATCACAACTTTATTGTTTGTTTCAGTCTTTTTAAGTGGCACTTCTCCAAACAGGAAATGCCTCCCATAATCTAAAATGCAATAGGCTTGTTAGGAAAAAGGTGGATACAACACTCGTTTTTTCTATGACTGTCCAGAGCATGTGAATTTGAGGCACGTGATTGGTTTTCTGTTGCTAAGCATCTAGCAGTAACATTCTAACACCATCATTTCACACTGTAGAACATTCGGCACTGCGATGCAGGGGTTAACACCACAAAAGCAGTTCTAACCCTGCTCCGAGCAGGGTTTCATAACTCCGGGTAAAAAGCGGTGCACCGCTAAATTACAAGTGTGAAACATTTCTCTACTTGTGGTTAAAAGAGGTTTAGAATGACAATAACACAGTGTGAGTGAATTCAAGTGTTTAAAGTTTGCATCACGTGCAGAATTTCTATAGACTGCTGCTGAAACCTGAGCCTGGTAATCTATGGATGGATCATTTGTCTATATATACCCTACAGAATTCATCCCATCTGCCCTGCTAATGAACTTTGGAATTAAATGGCTAATTCATTTGTGCTTTTAAGCAGTTTAAAGTTCTGAAACATACGCCTTTGGAGGGATCTCTATAATGATCTCAACACTGTAGAGAGCACTAAAGCATGAATAATAAAAATGCTGTATTTTTAGTTAAGAATAATTCTTTCACATATTGCAAATCTTTTATGTCTCCCAACCCTGCAGTTATAAACAAAGCAAGCTGTTAAAAAGCGATTAGCTGCTTTGTATCATGATTCCTGATGTTCCCGCATCCCTCTCAACGGGTACATCAGTCTGCAGACAACACACATTCCCAGCACCAAACGGGAACTGCACAGTGAGAAGATCGGAGCGTATTTATTAGGGGAATAATAAAGTAAATTTATATTGACTTTGTCTGACAATGGACACATTAAAAGACCATTAGCTAAAGCAGAAGAAATCCATCCTCAACCCAGAGAGGGCTATGTTAATTAGCTTCGGGATTGCCGCGATCAGTGGAAAGCAAAAGACAGGTGTTAAATCACAGGATTCTAGTATAAAGTTTAAACTCATTGAGACTTGGGACTTTTATATGTGATATTAAAAGAACTCTGAAACAACCCATCATCTGTCAGAACAACACAATACACAATTTTTTTTTAACTTTATGGTTTTAGTTATCATAGGCCTTTAATTCCTATCCTTTAATCTGATTGGCCAAGAAGCATTCCATTAGTCTATTTAGTAGATTGGTATCTCTTTGATGTGATTCACTTGTCAAATTAAGAAAACAAAGGTCTGACTATCATTTGTCACATTATGATTTAAAACATGCATTATTTTAAAATTACAAAAAACTATTGGAAGAATATCAGAACCAACAAAGCCAAACCGTTGGTCAGCATTGAACTTGAACCAAAACAAAGCATGAATGACTACAGGTCATAAAAAAAACAACCTTCATGCACTACACATTAATGTCATGTAGGCTTACACTGAAAACAGCACTCTTCTAAAACAGTGCACATCCATCACTTCCTCGGACAGATAAATTCAAAGCACCATAAGCCTCTAGAAACTCACGGGACAATGCAAAGGAGGGTTTAAACCGCAGTGTCCTGCTGGTTTAACTTTTCCACTGAAGAGCAAATGATATCAGTGAACATGGCACAGAACAGAGTAGACAGATACTGTAGATGAGCCCAAACACAAAGCAGTGGGAAATCCCAGCATGGCTCTCCTGTGCGTTCCCATAAAGCAGTTTATGTAAGGGCCCCCTGGAGACTCCAGGGATTAAATGCTATTCTTGTGTTTGCACACGGTGTTCCTTCTAGTCTGCTATAGACAGATGTTTTTTTAAACCTTGAAAAATAAGATAGGTCTCTCAATACCTAATAGTAACCCAGCAAATTTACACTGTTGTTATTAGGGTAACTGAGGATAATATATACACTAAAACAAATTTATGCACCAATTGTGAATCCGCCTTTTCTGCACATGGAAGTAACACTTCCACAAAATTGAATAAGACCTATTGTTATATTTTCTGATCTGACTGTTTAAGTATGTCAAGATTCTAAACTTCCCTATTCACAGACAACAATGTTTCAGGCAGTTTGTGATAAAAGGAGTTATCATACTCGTATTCTTTTTCATTAGCTTGCATAGGAAATCTAAAATACCTGGAGAACAATTGCTTGGAAAGTACTGAAGTACACAACATGGATGCTGGCATCTTGAGAATCAGTTTTGGAGACCAATCTCCTGAGCTGTAATTGCCATGTGACTGATCACTCATATTAGAACTCCCTGCAGCAGACAAGAAAAACCCCTCCAAATTAAAAGCCCTCCAAAAATGTGGTCATTGGTAATATAATGTAATATAATATAATATTGCATTTATACCTTTATCTCAGGTCAGATCAGATGGCACACCTACAAACTGCCCATTTAAACTGTCGGTTTAGTAACAGTTTGTTGATAAGAGCTGGCTGAATCTCCTGGCTGTATGCAACTTCCGGGTATAAGGGCTGAAACTACCCCACTGACACTCTTTAGTCATATGTGTCAGAAATCAAGTTCACAGCCATAAAAATGGATCAGCATCTTTTATTTACAATAAAACTAATGCAAAACTCTTTCTTATATATTGCTTTCATATATCATTTTGCTTTTACTGCATAAACCACTGAACAGACAGTCTCTTGTTTGCATGTATTTTCATAGTAAAATTCTTATTTAATGCATAGAAAAACAGGGGAGGACACACACTACACATGCACACACCACACTTACCCACAGACACATCAGAAATTATTAGACTCCCATCAATAATTAATTTTGGCAGAAATTATATAGTACTAAATTATTATCTTAAATTAAGGGGTAAAAATGTCATTTAAGGCCCAAACATGAAGCACCCCCAAGAAAATAAACTGAATCATAAAGTGGTTTAGAATTAAAATGCTGCCATTCAGTAAACCAGTGCTAAATTAACTTCCTCTGGTTAACAGAAGTTCACCAGCTCATAAAGAAACAAAGGAGAGAAAGATAAATACCCTATTTCCTTAACTGCAAACTACAGTAAAGCTGTGCTACACAGTTCACTCGAGCAAATTCAAGGCAAAATATCTCATGAAGCAGGCACTCTAACCAAACAAAATAAACATTAGATAAAGACTCTCATTTCTTTTTCACAATATATGACTTCATTTTCTTGGAGGGGTTGTTCATGGAGACACGTGAGATCTAAATAAATACAAGTGCCACGCAGCTGCAGAAAAATACTCTAAAACACACTGTATATGTAGACCAGCGGTGATGAACTTTAGCCCCATTGTAGGCTATGGAGAAACCAAAGTGAATCAGTATTAGGGTAGATGAGAGGTAAACAGAGGCACTTTCAGTGCATGTGAGCAGCAGATCAGATCTATGCAGCGCTTTCCGAAGGTTGGCCATCACCATAACTGTCTTTAAGTATAGTACTCTCAGTTTGTGTAGTGTCTTCCTCTGGTCCAGTGTTGTCTTCATCATATTGCATTGAGTGTAGTCTGTAGAGAGGGGGGCTGGAGGAAGAAAAAGACAAAAGATTTTTTTAGAAACAGGAAGAGAAGGTTATAGCCACACCTTTAGACCTGTTCCTTGCGAAAGGACAGACGGACACAGTGCCATGCAAAGATCGATAGCAGGACAAAGGTCATGAGTGAATGTCCCTGACTGGTCACAAATGCACATCTACAGCAGTTCCAAAACATCCACTATGTTTGCAATAAGGTCTTGCTCAATTATCAGTTTAAACTCTACCAGAACATCTAAAGCTTTATGTACATTAATTGTGGCTTACTGTGTTTCCTAGAATATCTTTTGTTGGTCTTGGAACAAGAATTCTGTCAAATCAACAAAAAGACCTAAGCCTATCCCTTATCCTTTCCTATTACTGTAAGTACCCAACATATCCCTAACCATTACCCATAAAATCAAATGGTTGATAATAATAGGTTCATAAAGTTTTTCGAGCTTCAAAATCTAAGTCTAACCTACCAGAAAGATCTGATTGATAGTATATTGTTCCAGAACCAACAAGGAACATGTCCTACTTGGCAAAATCAAGATAAGCATTTGTGTGTTAGTATAGTACTTTATGTGGCCACACTTTGAATATATCTGTGTCTAAACCCAAAACCATGTTCAGGCAACAGTGTCATGGCATGCTGTTCAATCCAATGATACAAAGAAGGTCATTAATGTTGTACACTGTTTAGAGTTTAACGCACAGCAGAACACATCATGCGTTTAAAGAGAATCTTCTTGAAAACATCAATCCTCAGTCTGGCCCATCCAGGGTCACCTGTTAATGATCCTTAATCACTGTTAGGCTTGTAGAGATACTTCATAACCAGACTGTCCACCTTTTTCTTCTGTTTCTTTATTTCTTTTTTGCTGGGGGGTCGTTCTTCATCAGGACTTTCTGGACCCCCATCTGAGACTTTCTGTCCTGGGGTTTTCTTCACGCTGTTTGAGCTGCGGTATGAAACTGTTGATGCAGAGCTTGAAGATGATGATTCCGAGTCAGATTCTGACTTGGACGATCCAGATTCTTTCTTTCTTGACCTTCTGGATCCTCTCTTTTCTTTCTGTCTGGAATGCCGCCGAGTATGACCCTCATTGGAGGAGCTGTCAGACTCAGAGCGCCTGCTCTTCTTCTTGTTCTTCCTCTTGCTGCTCTTGGAGCTGAAGGAACTCAGCGAGCTTCCGGAACGTCCAGAATCTACAGCAGAACCTAAAGCCGAGCGTCTTAGACTGGACCCGCTGAGGCTCAGACCTTCATCGTCCTTGTCTTGCAACAAACCTTTGATGCTCTTCCTGTCGTCTTCCTCTCCTGCACCACCACCTCCCTCCTCTTCTTCATCATCTGAGACTTCTAAGCTGCGGCGTTTGAATTTAATTGGCTTGAAGCTCAGGACTTCATTGATGGCTTTTTCTAACTCAGGGTCCAAGTAGTTGCGGTGGCTCACGGGTTTAACGTCAGAAGCGTCTAGTGGGTTCTCTGAGGAGCGTAGCTGGGCTGGAGTGGACAGACTACGGCCCACCGAGCGTGGACTATATGCGGCCACACTTACAGAGTCAACATCATCATCGTCATCAACATCATCATTATTCAAACGAACTCCAAACTCGCTAAGTCGGTTGCTGCGGGCCAAGGAGATTTGTGAGCCGACGCTGGTGCTTCCAGGACTGCGGCTTCTAGATCGTTGGCTCATACTAGTACTTGTCGGCCCGTAATCACTGCGGCTGTCATCCATCCAAGAAGTACTACGTCGCAAGCTGAACCTGCTCACACCAGACTGAGCGTCATCATCTTGGCCAATCCCACGGCGTGTGGAAGCCCGGCTCGGGGCAACCGAGGACACCATGGACTCCTTGTCAAATTCTGGACTGCTTTTGGTCCAGCGACGGTCTAGGCCTTTCCTGGCCCTACTGGTAGCCTCAGAGTATGCCTGGGATATCACTGAACCCCGGTCATCCAGATCATCACCAGTCTGAGGCCTGTCTGTGGATTTGCCTTTAGCTTTGCGCAACGACAATCGGTCAGGCATGTCTGGCTGCTCCCGAAGGGCACTGAAGAGGGAGCTGTCATCCCCTGCACCTCCATTCCAGTCCTTCTGATGGGAGCGTTTCCTGTAGCTGAGCGAGCTTATCACAGACACTGGACGGCTCTCGTCCGAATCTTTTTTTACTTCCTCCTTCCCCTCTTTTCCCTCTTTCCCTTCTTTTATATCTTTCACATCTGCATTAGCAGCATTGGCGTGTCTGAGACAGACAGAAAACACATTAAAAACGGCAGAATTTCAGATGATCAATGAATGAAACAGGATGATACCCGTGACAGAGATAAACATGAATTCAAAGAACGAAAGAGATTTGAGAGGTAATTTAGGAGCATATTTTATACCAACCCCAGAAATAAACTTAAAAGGATTAAACTCCTAATGGCAGTTGTGTAACCACACCATACTAATACTACTGAGGAACAGAACAGTAACAGCAGCTCCTGGTGAGACAGTCATGAATCCAACACCATCAAATGCTGTCTTGAGCTTATTAGCAATTCTCACAGATGGAGAAGACATATGTAAGTCTTGGCTGGTACTCTGATAAAACACATCAGTAGCGCCCCCAATGTTCTTATCCTGTAGCTACAAAAGCTGCCTATACTCTTTGAACAACTGTTCAATCAGCTTTCCACAGAAAACTCATGGAGGATTAAATGAAACACTGTAAATTAAATATGCATCTGTTAAAGACATATTTTGTATAACTTGAAAGGGGTTCACTAGCTTATAGATTAGAACACTAAAATTCACAAAACTATTTTTTTTTTGTCTTTAAAGCTTTCAAATGATCATCTTATCAAAATATTAATTTATACTTCCAGAAAAAAACATTCATTAAACGTAAACAAACTCATCATTTAGTCACTAGTTTCCCACCAATATTAAGTGTGGTTTGATTTCTCCAGCTCTGGGGATCGTCAAATGATCTCAATCCTTGAAATGAAACTCTAATATGCAACTAAAAGGATTCCATACTGACCTGGTGGTCTTCTGGGTGCCCTCATCAGAGAGTGTCTTGGTGGATCCTTTGCTCTTGGAGAGCAATGACTTCACCCCATCCACGCGGTCCTCCACTTCAGAGTCCATATCTGATTCATCTCCACTGCCAACAAGAGAAGCTCAATCAAATGTAGCAGCTGACATAAAGGTCATTTTGGCTGGTCAGGGCAAGAGGGTCACGATACTTCAGTTAGTTGTTAGTACCACAACAACAAGTGGTTTCAATAAAAGAAATTGGGGAAAAGAGGATTTCAATCTGTTCCACAACAACTGCCTCTATTTTAGAAGATAGGAGAGAGAGAGAAACCGCTCACATCGAACACTGAAGTCAGATCTTTTGCTGCATTTTATCTGTGGAGATCTGAGAATGCAGTGGTACATGTCAGATCATTCCCATGAGCCTTTGCAGTTACTATTATAGTTTGATTTTAGGAATATACACAAAAGCTTATACAAGTATAAATCTGTCTACAAAAATTGCACAAACACACAATCAGGGACGCCATACAGTGGCTACAGATGTTTCTGGAGAATTTTAACGTTCTGTCACACAATTTAAAGCTTAAGCACACACACAGCTCACATTCAAACACTAATCGACTGTGACAATCTGCTTCTATTGGTTGCATATCGCAGTTCCACCCTATTACAGCAAATCAACCCGAATGCAATTGATTCCCCCCTTCCCAAATCCGAGCAGTTAGACTTGCACAACAACACACATGAACACATCACAACTTGCTAAGTAGTTAAGATAAGTAGCAAGTTAAGTAGCAAGTTTTTCTTGAAATTCACAGAACACCTGGGGAACTTTATGCAGAATCAAAATTCACTCTGGAAGTGGAAACTTAATATATAAATATGGATTTTCAAACAAACACACAATGAAAACAGGTCTAGAGTGGGATTCATTTTAACAATGTTTTTTTTATATTTTCATATTTTCCTGGGTGTATAAATGGCTCTGATGAAAAGATGGCTGGTGGAATGGGCAAAAACAGATGAGCAACACATAATGATATTGTTAAACGTACAGCACATGCTCATGAAGACAGGAAAATGCTGCTGTATTAAATCAGTTATTGGACTAATAATTCTTCCCATTTCAGCTGAAAATAATACTTGCCATGTGAGACTTCACATGGTTTGTTGGACTGCAGATTAATACAACAGCATTTTCACATGTTCTTACAATGAATAGCATTACAAACTCAAACCAACAAACAGCTGAGAAACAAACACCATTTAGTATCCTCACGTTTTGTTCTTTCTTTTCTGATACTTTGTCACCATGTCTTGTAAACTGCCAAAAATAAAATAAAAATAGACGAAAATAAAGGGAAAAAGGGAAAATGAGTAAGCAGTTGATCATATAAAAAAAAATTGGAGACAAGAAACAAAAGTAGAAGAAGAAAAGCAAAAGAACTCAAAAAACGTTTACTATGTAAACGATAGTAACATGCAGTGGTCATCCTGATCAACTTCAAGAGAATTGTTGCCATGGGAACAGTGGCACTGACAGGAGACTAATCCTCATACCTGTTGATGAGGTCATCATCATCATCTGTCTCCATTTCATCTTCCATAGCAGCCTGCAGGTCCCCAATCCGCTTAAAGGCCAACTTCAAATCTGCTTGTAAGCTCTGATTGGCTGCTTCCAGACTTTCAATATCCATTTCCTGTTAAAGTCCAACCAGAGTTATAAAAAAAAATGACCACAGTTTTACCACCGTAATCATAGTGTGTTTTATGCAGTACCATTACATTTACCTAACCATGGTAATGAGGAGCCATCTATGGTTTTACCAGTGGCCTTACTACAAATACCACAGTTAAACTATGGTTACTATGCAAGAACTATGTCACTTTTCATAAAAGATCCTTTGCTGCAGTTTCCCTTCATTATACTGTAGTTGCTATAGAGATGACAAGAGAATCTCCATCCAGCAGGAGGCGCTCTGGAACTCACCAGCTCATGTTTTTTGCGACTGGCTTCTGCCTCTTTCTTAGACAGTTCAGTCATCTCCTCCTTAATGTCCCGGGTCTGCCGTTGCATGCGCTTGTTCTGATCCTTCTCCCGGTTTTCGCTGGCAATACGCTGGTCTCGTTCCTCAGTCATCTTCTCCAGGTTTTCCTTCAGCCGTGTTACAAGAGACTGGAGGATGAACGTGAACAGACGGAAAAGCCAGAGATTTAGAGCTCATAAAAAAGAGAGACAGAAACACACTGAAGCAATTCACTATAGATGAATTGTAGCCACTGATGGAGTTGTTTATCTGCATGTGCAATGGACGTTATTTTAGCACCCAGTTCACTAAAAGAATTATGCATGGAATAAAATAAAAATTACTTATAACATTAAATCAAACGAAAGCTAAAAAGAAATTTAGGACTAAAATACAAAATGAAAAAAAAAAAAAATTACTGAATTTTTCAGAACGATCCTACTTCAGTGTCCTGCTATGAATTAATTAAATTTGCCAGGCAGTATGAGCCGTCACATGACTCACCTCCAGACGTTTGGTCTGGGTCCTCTCATATTCTAGTTTGGTCTCTAGTTCACGGATTTTGGCTTCCTGACGGCTGACCAGCGATTTCTCCACCATAGATTGTTCCTGAAATTCAAGCTGTGACTGCAGGGAGTGAAGCTGCCAAAAATAAAAAATAAAAACACACTGACTCATGTCTCAGACCACATTCAACCAGCCCTCTGCTTCTCTCTCACTGCATGGGTCCTAACCATCTACAAATCCACCATATAGCTACTGTAGAAAATAATGATTGAGGGGATAGGAGGCAATTTCGGGCTCCCGCAAAGAATAAAGAAAGCATCTGCCTTTTTAGTGTAGTGTAGGGGATTTTTTTGTTACCTTGTCCTGGATCTCTTGTTTTTCCTTCATGGCCTCCTCCACCTGGGTCTGCAGGTCACTGATCTGCACCAGATCTCTTGTAGACTAAACACACACACACAAACATATGTAACATATACAGTTAATTTGAACTCTTAATCTGTGCTAGTAGTATTTTAAATGTTTTTTAAAGCTGTTGATATACACCTATATAAATGTATAATCTTTGACTTTTTATATCATACACATTTTTTGTTTTTGAAAGAAGTCTCTTACATTCACCAAAGCTGCATTTATTTGATCAAAATACACTAAAAACAGTAATATTGTGAAATATAATAACAATTTTAAATAACTAGTAAACTTTCTATTTGAAAATATTGTAAAATATAATTTATTCCCCTGATGTCAAAGCTGAAAGTCTTCAGTGTCACATGATCCTTCAGAAATCATTCTAATATGCTGATCTGCTTCTCAAGAAACATTTCTTATTATTATCAATTTTGAAAACAGTTGTGCTGCTTAATATTTTTTGGAAACTTTTTTCAGGATTCTTTGATGAATATAAAGTTCAAAAGAACAGCATTTAAATAGAAATAGAAGTTTTCCGTAACATTATAAATGTTACTTTTGATCAATTGAATGCATCCTTGCTGAGTACAAGTATTCATTTCTTTAGAAAAAATCTTCCTGACCCCAAACTTTAATGGTACTATATATATGAGGTCACCTGAGCCACTGCAGCTTTGTGTTTCTTCATGAGTTCGTTCATGTCCTCCTGATCCTCCTCAAAGCGAGATTGCAGGTCATTCTTCTCTCTCTGTAGACGACTTATCTGCTCCTCCAACTGAGGGAGACAGAACAGACAGGGTTGGATGAGTACCTTGAATAGTTTTATTCACAGATTTCTAGTATGAGGAATTGTCACACAACCTGTCCATGTTGCCATCTGTCTGATTTGGCAGATCAATACCATTCCAAAATACTGCAGAGTTTGATTGGATGCACAGAGTTTGACATCAACAACAAAATATGATTTCTCATTCCCTTTGAAAACTACCAAACCTGTTTATTACACACACACACACACACACACACACACACACACATATATATTAGCTATATCTAATAGTTGCATTTTATGTGTTGTTTTTCTCTGCTCTCCATGACATAACTTTTAATAACAGAACACTTCCCATAATACAGCCACAGTAGCACTGCAAGTACATTTTAACAAGTACATTTCTGCAATTTTAGAGAAAGAGTTTAGAGTAACATTTCAGTGTGGGACTAAAACACTGTCATTACACACGGTAATTGCATATTTCTGGTTGAGGCTGTGATGAGGAGATTATACCCTTAAACTCTTCTATTTGACATCATCTCCTCTTCCTCAGAAATAATAAATCAAATGCACACCCCAAGTGAACCATTAAAATCTGAGTACCATAATTTTAGAGTACTGAAAGAGCCTATAGCATGAATGGGGGAGGAATCAGAGAAGATTAGCTGCACTGATATTCATTTTATCTCCATCCTTTTTCTGCCCTCAGCGAGGTAAAATGTGAAGTGACAAAATCAGAATAGGCCTATATTTAAGATATAAAATTCCATGTGGATCAGGATTTGTGTCAATGAGATTTCACTGTAGGTGGAGCCAGACAGCATGACGCTGCAGGAATAAAAACCAAGCAACTGTCAAAATGTCTTGTCAGCTGTCATAGTCACAGTCAGTTAGGACAAACACATAAACATGGAAGAGACAGGATTTAATGCTTTATCGCGTCATGCTTGGTTAGGACACCGTGATTCAGGGTTTCTTTATCTCACTCTGGAGGTTTACATTTTGTCCCTCTGGAATATTTATTCTAAATGGTTTTTCCATCAGCCTGAGCAGGCCAATGATTGAACTGTAAGCACTTTATTTCTCTTTGCCTAGCAGTTTGAGTAAATCCTGACACATTTACTGTTCTATTCAACTCAACAGATGAATTTTGCCTCAAAACTAACATATTTCCCCACAATGGCTCTAACAAATCTGGTGGACAATATGAAGTTTTCTAAAGTAGGAAAACACGTTTTGAACGGCACAATCTATTCTCTGTAAATTCTTAAAGGAGATGTTGATGACTCGCATTCTGTTGTCTGTAATGATCGACTGATCAATTTCACACAGTGAAGTGCTCAGTAATTGGAGGAACTAAATAAAACTTGTGAAACATCTGAAAATGTGGGTTAATTTCTTAATATTTTTAGAGTTGAAATGGTCATAAATGTTGTATAAGATCATGTCTTGTTTATGAACAATGAACTGTTTAAACAAAACGAACAAAACAATCAAACAGTAAATGAACAACCCAAACAATTGCTTAAGCAAGTAAACAATAAACAAAAGACAGTAATCAGACAGTAAACAAACATCTTAAACAACTAAAGGACAAACAATACAGTAAACAAACACTCTAAAAACAAACAAGCAAACAGTAAAGAAAGAGCCCAAACAATCATATATAAATAAATGTACTTATGTTTGAACAAACATGTGAATAAAACATTAAAACATGTCCTGTTTTCTGACCACTGAAATGTTTCCAAATAAAATAGAATATGACTCACAGCCATCTTGGCTTTTGTGATGTCGTCCATCTGGATATGAAGGTCCTCAATTTCCAGCTCCATAGACTTGCGTGCTTTAACTGCAGCTGCGCAGGCAAACTCTGACTCCTCCAACTAAACCAGATACAACACACATACATACACTCCTATTTGATTTATCGATCTAGAGAGGGACATTAATTATCATTTGATTCTACCTTATTTTTGAGTGCGATGATCTCTCTTTTGCTGGGCACATTACTCTTTAGGTGGTCCAGCATCATCTGCGCATCAGCCAGAAGAACTTTTGTACGCTTCAGGTCCTTCCTGAGACGTTTCTCTGTCTCTACATCCCTCTGACCAACCTGTTATATGGTGTAATACTGTGTTATGCTTTGTTGAGTGTAGTGTTGTACACAGCAAAATCCCCAAAGTCAACTCTGCTCAGAGTACATATTGTCCCAATCTATAGAGTGTTAAAGTAACACTGAAGCAGAGTTACCACTGTTGAGGATTATGTGATATGTTTTCATGTCTAAAAGCCTGAGCAGTAGTTGTTCATCTTCAACATTGTTAACAGCGGGTTTTCTTTACTAATGCTCACTCATCAAATAATTAATTGCTTAATTATCCCATTAACTTTAACTCGGCTTCAGTGTTACTTTAACACTCTAGATCCATCTGCTTCAGCTACCCACACACATTTCAAAAGACCCATTAGGAAACATGGAGGTCTCAAATTGTGTGATTTGATTGTGTTCAGATCCTGTTTGTTCACCTTCTTACTGCAGGACAGTCTGATCTCCTCCACTTCCTCGTCTTTACTGTCCAGCTCTTTAGAGTGCGTTTGTTTCAGTCTCTCCATCTCCATTTCCAAACGGAGTTTAGCCTAAATAACACACACAGATCAGATGAGGTTAACTGTTGATAATATCCTCTGAAAAATAAAAAGTTTCCAAATTTACTTTTCCACTCTTCTGCAATGAACGATGTTATTTTAATATTATTTACATACTAGTATTTATAAATATATTAAATTAGTTTTAATTTTAGTTCAGGTTTTAGTAATTTTTTTATATTTTTATTTAATTTTATTTTTATTTCAGTTTTAGTTTTCAGTTACATTTATAATTTTTTAAGATTTTCATCTAATTTTACTTTATTTCAGCTTCCATGTTTCCATTAATGAAAATAATTTTTAATAGTTTTAGTTTTAGTTAACAATAACAATGGCTCTGAATAGAACACCATATAATTCAGAGTCGCTATCCATCTTTGATTCGAACGTTTTTAGCTTGTACCTGTTCCAGCATCTGAATGGTTCCAGCCTGTTCATCAAGCTCCTCCTCTTGATCTTTGACCTTTGCTTCCAGGTCACGCAGTTGCTTCTTAACCTTTGCGAGTGAAGCCTCGTCTTTCGACTCCTGAGAGGAGAGATCCTGGAGCTCGGATTCCAGCTGCTCTACTTTCAGACTGACCGTACACAGCTCTGTGTCCTTCTCCTGTTTGTTAAATTATGAATTTTGTCATTAGCTGATGGTTTTGTGGTTTTATCAAAAGCAATTTACCGTAGACTTATTACAGAAACCTGAAGTTATGTAGGCATCTTGCTACATAAGGATGCGAGAGAGAAACATTCACTTATCTATCTTGAGTCTCACCTGTAGCTGTTGTCTGATTGTAAACACCTCACCAGTTAGCACATCTCTCTCGCGGCCCAGTTTCTCCCGCTGGTTCCTCTCCTTCTGTAGTTCCTCTTGAAACTGGTTCTTCTCCACATCAAACCTGCCAGAAATGTCAGAAGATAGACAGGTTTTGAGACATGTAATTTCAAGAGCAACATGATAATCTGCTCATATCTACAAAGGTCATAATCTAGCAAACACAAACTTCAGTCGGTAGGCATTCAAGCAAACATTTCCTCATCTGCTTCTGATTTTGTAGATTTTCATCTGCATTGTTAGTAGAAAAGTGTTGGATTTTGAGTTTTGAGTAAGCCTCTTTTTCCTTTTTCAATTCTCCAGATGCTGGAAATTCTGTGAGCAAAATGAAGTCTATGCATTGAGGTTACTCGTGAATCGTCAAGCATGTTGAGATTTAGTTCCAGCTCTACGTCTGATCTGCTATGTTTTTTAGCTATGAGCAACATCAGCCAAATACTAAACACACACACCCAAATAAAAACAGTCCAGCAATAAACAAACCCAACCACAAGCTCAAACAACCAGACAGTAAATGAACAGTAAATATATAAATAACAAAACACTCAAAAGAGTAAATAAACAGCCCAAACAATCGAACAGTAAACAAACAGCTTAAACAACAAACAGTAAATAAAGAGCTCAAATAGAGATGTAATCATACAATAAACAATAAATTGAGATATCTAGGAATAAACAATGAGTAAACGAACAGCTCAAACTATAAATGAATAGCCCAACTAATCAGAAAGTAAACAAACTGCTGAAACCAAAAGAGTAATTAGACAGTAAATAGACAGCTTTAACTAAACAGCAAACAAAAGACAGTAATCAGACAGTATATGAACAGCCTAAACGGCACACCAAAGACAGTAAACAAACAGCTTAAACAACTAAACAACAAACAAAAGACAGTAATTAAGTAAACAAGCAACTTAAACAACAAACAGCAAACAATCAAACAGTAAAGAAAGAGCCCAAACAATCATACAGTAACCAAACAACATAATAAACTGTTTACTGTACTGTATGATTGAACAAACTGTATGATTAAACAATGAGCAAACAAACAGCCCAAAAAATAACGTAAACAAACCACTGAAACGATCAAACAGTAAACAAACCAAAAGCCCAAAAATAAACAGCCCAAACAATCAAACAGTAAATGTATGGCCCAAACAACCACAGAGTAAACAATAATCAGAAATCTCTATAATCAGACCCCGGCAGGAGACTGAAGACACAGACTGAGGTATGTGTGTGTATGATTGGCTCTTACTTCCTCTGCTTTCTCTCAAGCTCATGGTTGCGTCCCTCTTGATTTTCCAGGTGCAGTTTGGTGTCTTGCAGTTCAGCTGCCAGCCGCTGGCATTTCTTCTTCAGCTGCTGGACTGAACGCTGGGACTCCTCGTGGTCAGCCTGCAAGTCCCCTAACTTCACAGAGAAAGAGACGGGAAGGTGAAGTTTATAAAAGTCTAAAGATTCTGAAGTGTTGCTGGTCAACGTCAGAGTATCATTTATTTTAGCAGAGTTTGAATTCAGATACATTTCACACTGTGTGTAGTCTGTCAGCAGGCCTAGTGTTTGTGCACTGTGTGTGTATTTACTGTGCGATACTAACTTTTCTCTCCAAGTGTCTCTTGTTCTGTTGTTCTGTCTCCAGCTTGTCATCCATCTCCTGCTGGAGTTTTTTCTTTGTGAATTCTGTGTGTCTGATGACACGTTCATATTTCAGCCTCCATTCACCTCCTGACATGCACAAACGCACAGAGACAGATTTTTTCACAGTTGTTGTTTTGATGAGCTGTTTGTGTGTGTGTGTGTTTTCAGCAGTTTTTGACCAAACTGGCCCTCTTTTCATTCCCAGCAGCCAAAAAATGCTATGTTCTTATTAAAATGAAGCATTTCCATAATCAGCTTCAAATGTTGTCTGATTGTGTTTCTTTTTTTTTTTACCAGAATCATCACCATCATTGTCCACCTCGCCATTGAGTTCTGATGCTTGGAGGAGTCTGGCCTCCATGATCTCCATCTCCATGGACTCCATCTGCTTCTTCACAGCGTCAAACTTCACCTGAGTTTCAGAAAAAGAAAAGAACAGGTATGTTCTACAGCAGCCCACTCACAAAATATACTCCTACCACAACTTTCACAGTTTATAAAAACTATAAAAATCATGGATTGACTTTTCAGTCAATCCATGACACAAGCAACTCATAATTTAAAGTAGTTCAACTACAGTAAATCTACACTTATGAAAAAGTACTTAGCTACACTACAAGCTACTAGATGCCATATTGTTTACCATATTAAAAACAAGTGATTTTACTTAGTATTTTGAACTGTTACTAAACAGCAGCATTTTACTAAATATTGAACCAAAAAAAGTCATAAAATGTTATCTTTAAGTCACTGGAAAAAACAATACTATTTTACTAAATTATGTTACTTAAAAACAGTTAGCCTAGTAGCATCTGTCCTTTAGTTAGTTACTCCCATCACTGTTTAATAAAGACTGAAGCAGGTTTGATGGTGTTCATGTACCTGCATATTCTTCATGTCCTTCTCCAAACGCAATCTTTCGCTTGTTTCCGTCTCCAGCAGCTGGGATGTGGACTCCGCAGAATTTCTCTCATCTGAAAGCTCTGCAGTCAGCTCTGTGTTCTATATAAACACACTTTCTACATAAACACAAGGCTTTCTGCATTTTTATATTTTCATTAAGACATCACTTACTACGTTTATTGTCTAACCTTTTGGAGACACTCGGCCTATCTAACTCAAAAACAACACCCTTTGCTTTCTCAACATTTCTCTGGTTTTCTTGAAGCAGGACAGCAAAAATGAGGCCCTGCTTTGCATTTGAAATTAAATAAGATGCTTGCATCTCTTACTCGGCTCTCCAGACGATCCGAGGTCAGCCGTAGCTCATTTCTTTCCTTCTCCACTTTCTCCAGCTTCAACTTCAGATGCATGATCTCCTCCTACAAGTCAAAACAACAATTTTATCTCCAGCAAAAGATAATACTGAATATTTAGATAAGAACAAGACAATTTTTGGCCTGAGGCTTGCTGAGCTAATATTATATGATCTGGTGTTTTGATCAGGAAAGATCTTTCTGCCTTCAGGTGAGTTCAGGAAGGGGCCAGACGGCAATGTTGCATTGCTGAAGCAAATGCTTTGAGCTGGGATTGAGATGTAGGATTGAGATGTGATAGCAGCAGGAATCAAAGAGAAGTCTCAGCTCTAATGCTGATGCAACAAAAGCCCTCAGATCATGTCATCTTTAAGGCAAACGCGTCCACACACACACACACAGATAAACCTTCGAGCTCTACTGTAAACTGACAGAAGCTTTGCATAGCGAGCAAACCAGGGAATGAAATAAAGAGTAAGATGGAAAGTCTCACATCTTTTCCACGAATCTGTTCTTCGCTGAGCTGAACCTCTACTAGAGGTCGTACTGTGGTGAAGAGCTTCCACCAGGGCCAGTCCTTCACACCACGATTCTTCTTAATGTTCTTCTGGACACAACGGATAGCCAAATCCTGGATCTGAGAGACAGAGAGGGATTTGTTTTAGATTATTTAAAGTGAAAGTTCATCTGAAAAATGAAAATTCATGTCGTTATAATTTATTATAGCACATAAGTCGTCATAGGTCGAAACTTTCAAGCAGCCTCAGTTTTTATTCATTTTCATTATATAAAATACAGTGGCCCAAATATTCATCAGCTTTTATGTTTTAGGGGGAAAAAAGCAATAGAGGTTTGGAATGACACGAGGATGAGTAAATCATGACAGAGTATTCATTTTGACCGAACTATTCCTATAATTCCTGCATTACATGGGTTCAGAACAGGCTGATGATACAGATCTCCATCTGTGAATGACATGATGGTTGCATTAACAGCGCGGCATGAAATGATTAATGTTCCTTTGCAAACACAATCATAAAAGCCACAGTATGACTTTGATATGACATTTTTGAGAAAGTACTGAAAGACTTGCAAACCAAAACTGTAAATCCGACTGGAATTAATTAAATGCACATTATGAAGAATTGAGAGGATTTGATTCAGAGGCCCAACTGCATGCCATGATCTGTGTTCAGAGGAGCTTTTATTAATTTGAGAACTTCTAATGACTAATAATTCTAGGGAGACTAAACAGGAGAGCACTTAAGAGAAGTGTGTTTTTTTCAGTATTAAAATACTTTCTACTACAGTTTAATATACAGAGACAAGTAAGTAATTTGTAGGTTAATTCCCTCAAAAAGTGTAAAGACTTCTGTGGTGCTTTCAAAACATTCTTCGGTTTGTTTGAGCTGCACATCACCAGCAACATTGGCACAACCAATGGATTGAGTTTGGGGCAGAACTGTTTGTTTGGCTGACCAATGGGAGACGGGGGGAGTTTTTTGTCTGCAGTTCTGCTCGGTGACACTAGTGTTGCAGAAATGACATGCTTCAGCTTAAAGGTGACATATCATGAAAATCTGACTTTTCCAGGTTTTAAGTGCTATAATCAGGTCCCTGGTGCATCTACCAACCAAGGAAACGTGAAAAAGATTAACCCAATCACTTTGTTTAGGTAAGCCTTTTTCTGCAAGCGTCTGAGAAAATGAGCGCGTCTGATTTCGCTCCCTTGGTGACGTGGCAAAGGGATCTCATTATAATATTAACGCCCCTTAATCTGTAAACTTCCACTCAAGGCACCGTCATTTTGATTTCACAAGCGACAACGGTGTACCAGCTCTAATGCCATGGCGAAAGTTTGAGCAAAACATGCTAACTGTTCTGTCTTTGGCTGCACAGACGAGCACAGAACACTATTTAGAGTCCCAGCCTCAGAGGAGACAAGAGAGCAGTGGATTTATTGATTTTTTAGGCTACTCTATATTGCTGCTGCCACACAGATCTAAAATAAACAAGCGATTTATTTCCCAGCTGTTTACCTTCACAGACATAACCAACTGTTTTT